AACGACGACAGAACACACGCTGCTGACGGAGACAGGACAAGCTATTGGACACACAGAAGACAGAGCTGATGCAGAAGCAGAAACAGTGACAGTAAACTATTATCTGCTAGCCTGTCTGCCTTCCTTTCCTGACTGGGGGATATAACCAGTGTCGATGCAGGTACACCCAAGGTTATAACAGTTACGGCTGCGATCATAACTAATCTGATCGGTCTGGTTAATGCCCCTAATGGTGCTTCTCCACGCCTGACGATCCGTGGCAGCAGCACACCTGGACAGCTCAATCCGTTTGCTCTGCTCCAGCGCTGGAGGCCGAATACCAGATATCACTTTTATGTTCTGACGGAATGCGTTGAGGCAGCTTTTGTATTGACTCCCTCTTCGACGCCTCCAATTAGGTAACAGCGCCGGATCGAGGGCCGCACAATACTGGGATCGTGAAATAAACAACGAAGAAGAACGTGTCCACACCACCTCAGTCGTCTTTTTCGGATGGTTCAGGATATCCTTGTCGCAGCCAGTGTGGACTGTCTCATTTGAAACGAAGTCGGTGTACTTCACTCGAGTCATAGTCCTCAAGCAGCAGTAGTGGTCAAATACCTCGAGTTTCCGTTCATCCTCCACGCGCATAACCTAGCATTCACAGACCGCACAGATGCACGGTACACACTCGAACCTTCGTAGCAGTGGAGATGTCGAATCGGATTCATAGGCACTTTCGTTCACTCGTGACACCATAAACTGTAGATCGCCAAAGCTTAAAGCTAATAAAATGAGATATCATTGGCATAGTCGAGATAAATCAACCGGCTTCTCTCACCCCTCCCTCTCCCATGTCCAGCTAACCTCCGTATGTTTTTTTACAGCGTTAACTTACTGCCTACTTACTGCGATGTTTCCTTCTTCTCCCCCCTTCTCTAGCTGTCTCCTACAGCAGCATTGGAATAGTTTTGGGTATATGCCTGGCCATCCTGCTCATTGCCGTGATCATCATCACTGCCATGGTGATTCTGCGAAGACGTCAAAAGTACGCCAACAATGCCATCAACACGCGAGTCTCCGCCGGTACCAACGGATCCAAAGCGCCCTCCTCCAGACCTCCCCACAAGTGAGTTTCCGTTGGCGATTCTGCTCTCCCTTCCTGTACAGAGTCTAGCTTTTGCTGGTGGTAGCGATCGTCTAATTTCAGTAATACCCGCACACACGTGCACACGTATGAGCTGCCCACCTCCTTTGTGTGAAATGCTAGTTGGTTGGTTAGTAGCCCTTGTTGGATCAAGAGTCCCCGCCGGACTCCAAACTGAGTGCAGTTGGGGGACAGAGAAAAGCCGCGACCTCAGCCGGCTTGAGCCAAAGGTCCGGCACGGGGGTGAGTTGGGTGCCTGGCCGGGAGCTGCAGGCGAAGAGATGCTGACAGTCATGCGGCAAGACGCAGCAGTCGGGACAGCTATCGGGGGTAGACGGA